TTGTTAATGACCAACATTAGTGCATGTGGATCCCTACATTTCAGTCTGTCAGAGCCTACAGTGAAAAGGGCGTTCTTATCAAGCCAGAAGTAGGTCACTGATCTAGAAGAAGCAACAAATGGACTAAGTGAATTAAGTTTCTACTAACTCCTTAAAAAATACATATATATACAGACATATATATGTATTTATACTTATATATATATACATGTACAGACAGTCCTAGAGTTACGCTGAACTTGATGTACGTTATTTCGTGGTTACATTACCATCTCCCATTTATTTATATAAAAAAAAAGTTCCGTCATTTCGACCTATGTGCTTTGTTTTTTATTATTTGTTTCCCACAAGTAAAGATCGGGAATTGTTATCTTTAAAAAAATTTTTTTACCGTTTTACTTCATTACCGCTATGTATGTGCTCCATGTAAGTGAAGTAGGTGGGTTTCAACTTATGGCGAAAATCACATTATGTTGCGCTGTAGGAAGGGATGTCAGACATAACCAGAGGACCTACTGTGTGTGTGTGTGTGTGTGTGTGTGTGTGTGTAGTATATATGTATATATGTATATATATTTATTTCAGAGAGGAAGAGAGATAGAAACTTCAATGATAAGAAATAATTATTGATCAGCTGCCTTCTGCACGCCCCACACTGGGTTTGCGAGCATGTGCCCTGACTGGGAATGGAACCGTGACATCCTGGTTCATAGGATAACACTCAACCACTGAGCCATGCCGTACAGGCATTCCTACTAACTTTTAATTGAATTTCACTGGCTTTACATGAGCTTTTTTTTTTTCTTATAATTTAGAGCTAACTCAGAAACTGTTTTAATGGGCAGTAGTGCTAGGAAGCTAGATAAGAACTGGATTTTAATGCTAACTATATCAAATTCAACACTAGTTAGGGACCCCATCTGAAAAACGGATATTTCTTTTTAATTCAATAGAATAAATTAAAAGCAAGAAGTGATGTTGTTCACACACATACCATGATATTAACAAATATAAGCAATTACCTTCATAAACCTTGATTGTAACAGTTGGCTGATTATCAGAGGCTGTAGAAAAGATCTGTGACTTCTTGGTGGGCACCACAGTGTTCCTTGGAATCAGTTTAGTCATGACACCTCCCACAGTTTCAATACCAAGCGTAAGGGGACACACGTCAAGCAGTACCAGATCACCTGCAAAGGTAATGATAAGAGTTAATTTCTAATTAAAGAGTCATAGAATTACTACTAAGCAGTCTCCTCATGACCATTACAACTTTATCTTCCCAATCTTTCTACTTGGTTAGGTTCTATACAAAACTATTTTAGAAGCAGTTAAATAATATATTTGCCAAGGATCTTAAAACTGCACCAGGTCTTGTTTACTGTACCCTTTACTAGCTATGTGACCTTATTGCTCATATTCCATTGCTTTATAAAGCAACAGCTAATTATACTCTTGCCAGCAAGCTGCTGAAGAACTGTGGAAGATGCTTACAACATGGACCTACCTGTATCTTGATCACCAGAGAGTACACCAGCCTGGACAGCAGCACCATACGCGACAGCCTCATCTGGGTTTATGCCACGGGATGGCTCCTTGCCATTGAAGAACTCTTTAACCAGCTGTTGAATCTTTGGGATTCGAGTAGAGCCACCAACAAGGACAATTTCATCAATATCAGACTTCTTCAAATCAGAATCCTCCAGCACTTTCTGGACAGGCTTCATGGTAGAGCGGAACAGGTCCTAGAATAAAAGACAATAATTACTATCGTGATGCCTGTCATACTGACTTACTGTCTAGATTTCTAAATGCATTGTCTCAATCTTACTAGATCTCATCAGCAAAGCGAAAACAAGGAGCATACCATGTTCAGCTCTTCAAACTTGGCCCGAGTCAGGGTCTCAGAGAAGTCTTCTCCTTCGAAGAAGGACTCAATTTCAATTCTTGCTTGGTGTTGAGAAGACAGGGCCCGCTTGGCCTTTTCGACCTCACGGCGGAGTTTCTGCACAGCTCTGTTGTCTTTCCTGACATCTTTGCCAGTCTTCTTTTTGTAGAGCTTGATGAAGTGTTCCATGACACGCTGGTCAAAATCTTCTCCACCCAGGTGAGTGTCCCCATTAGTGGCCACAACTTCGAAGACACCATTATCAATGGTGAGAAGGGACACGTCGAAGGTTCCACCACCCAGGTCAAACACCAGAATGTTCTTCTCCCCTTCCCTCTTATCTAGGCCATAGGCGATAGCAGCTGCTGTACTGTTAGGAGAATAAAAAAAAAAAAAAAATTTTCAGGTAAGTTAGATAAGTTTACAATTTCTCTACTTAGCAACTATACCATCCCTTTGAATTTAACACTTACGGCTCATTGATGATCCTCATGACATTCAATCCAGCAATAGTCCCAGCATCTTTGGTTGCCTGGCGTTGGGCATCATTGAAATAGGCTGGTACAGTAACAACTGCATGAGTAACCTAAAAAAATAACATAAGGTATGTATACATGCATATAAGTACAACCAATGGACACAAAACTCTGGGGAGGGAGGGTATGTATGGGAGGGGGGACAATGTTAAAATATGTACACAGATAATAATTTAATAAATAAAAAAAAGGAGAGAAAAAAAAGAAAAAAAAATAACATACGGTAATTGTCTTTTATCACATGGCCTTACCCTTATTTCAGTTACAGTGAAATCATCACTTTAGTTTCTAAGCCAGTTTATTTTTAAGATGGGCATCATAGTTTTATACCCAGGTAAAGTCCCCAGCATTTGGTTTGGCATACAGTCAAGTATGCACGTAATTAAAACTGATATACATGAATGTCATTCAAATTATAAAAACAATGAAGGCATTTATACAACACAATCAAGAGCAGCAACAATAAAAATACTTAACATGTTCTAGAGAAACTTACCTTCTTTCCCAAATAAGCCTCAGCAGTTTCCTTCATTTTAGTGAGAACCATGGCAGATATTTCTTCAGGAGCAAAAGTCTTTGTTTGCCCGCCTCCAATATCAACTTGAATGTATGGTTTAGTTTTCTTTTCAACCACCTGTTTTAAAGAATGATTATTATTGCAGACACAGAAGCAACAACACTTCAAACTTATACCGACCAAAAATACTTCTCTTAAATCTTGAACTACTGTGGACAGAGTAGTTATGTCTGAAGTGTGTCGGTAAATTTTGTAACACACCAGAATTATTAAATAAATATTATTATATGTACCATGTCTCTATCCTTTCTTGTCTTCAAAACTGTTTTTCCGTAAATTCTCAATCTTAAATATTCCCACACCACCGCCACCACCACCCACTTCCTATCCGGTGGAAAAAAACCCGGCCGAACCTTGAAAGGCAAGAACTTGATGTCCTGCTGCACAGACGGGTCGTTCCATGTGCGGCCGATGAGCCGCTTGGCGTCGAAGACCGTGTTCTCGGGGTTGGAGGTGAGCTGGTTCTTGGCGGCATCGCCGATCAGACGCTCCCCTTCGGGCGTGAAGGCCACATAAGACGGGGTGATGCGGTTGCCCTGATCGTTGGCGATGATCTCCACGCGGCCGTTCTTAAACACCCCAACGCTGGCGGGGAGAAAAAAAAAAAAAAACCGAACGGAAAGAATCAGCTCAAGCCATTCTCACCGCAGTCCACGGGGACAAGCCCCATCCTCCTTTGCCCCAAACCCCTGACTTACCAGGAGTAGGTGGTCCCCAGGTCGATGCCGACCACCGTGCCCACGTCCTCCTTCTTGTCCTCCTCCTCGGCCCGCGCCGCGCCGAGCAGCAGCAGCACCGCAGCCACCAGGGAGAGCTTCATCTTGCCTTCGCCGTCGGTCAGCAGGCAGGCGGGGCGTCGCACGCAATCCAAGCACAGGCCCAAAGCAAGGAAACGCACAGAGCGTACCGATCTGCGGGGGACACGGGGCCCGGGGTCAGGAGGAGCGGTGGACAAGACGCAGGGCGGGTGAGGAAAAGCAGGCCGCGGCGCTTACCTCGCAAACCTCTCGCACTCGCGAAACCCAAAAACCAGAAAGCGTGTAAAGACTCGGACAGTACCGCGAGGTGCCCCCGACTCCGCTTATATACCCTCCCCCCCGTCGTGGAGGCCGCCGATTGGTCAAGGCGCTGCTAGTTGGAGCCCGCTGATTGGTCCAGGCCATCAAGCTGGCCGCCGCCGATTCGAAGTAGCTTCCGACGCGCCTGACGTCACCGCTAC